ATATAATTTATAAATATAATCTTTTAATATTAAAAAAAGCTTTAGCTTATTTAATAACTAGAGTTTATTTTAATATATTATTCTTTTTTAATTATTATAAGGAATGATATCCACAGGATGTATTCTTACAAGAATAAAGCCCATCTTTTCTTAGATATATCTAAATATATATATAGAATTCTAGAGATCTATAAATAATTATAAATAATATTAATTTTTTAATTTAATAATAATAATATTTCTAGATTATAGTCTTATATATTTATTTATAATTAGTAATTATAAATTTGATTTTGATAATAGACTTTATATTATTTAATTAAGAGCTAATTTTAGTAGAACTAGTCTAGTTATATAATTCTCTTAGTAATCTGCTTATATATAACTATACTAGTCTAAGAAGATTAGTTAAGGGCTTTACTATATATAATATAATATATCAAGATAATAATTCCTGAATAGCATGCTTGTGATTAATCAGAGAGTCTAGTTTAGGGCCAGAGAGTCTGTGATTGGCCAGAGTATTATAAAAAAGAGATAATTATAAGAAATAATATCCGCGGAATATATTCTTATAAGAATAAAACCTATCTTCTTCTAGATATATCTAAGTATATATATAGAATTCTAGGGATCTATAGATAATTGTATTTAATATTAGTCTTTTGGCTCAGTGGCAACAACTCCTCTAGATTGTGGTCCTACAACTAGTCTAATAATTAATTATAATTAATATATATTTACTATCAAAAACTTTTAATAATAATTAAATATATATTTTTTAATAGCTCTAAGAAATAATCTTTAATTTATATTTAATAAAATAAATAAGTATCCAGAAGAATACTAGAATAATATAATTAATTATTTTTTTAATTAAATATATTCAATAATTCAGAATAGCAGATAATAAATAATAAAAAAATATAATATTTAATTAAGAAAGTTTTTTTTATTATAAATAATATGAGTTTAAAGATATTATAATAAATATTAGTAATAATAATCTATTAAAAAGTCTAGAAATCTTATATAAAAATAAGACTCTAAGATTAATATTTATAAAAATATTATTAATAATTATATATCTATAACAAATCTTTATTCAGTATTTATTTAATAATTTATTTAAAAATATATTAAAATATTTATTTTTTATAGTTTTTATAAAAATAAGGCTTATAGAACTAGTCCTGAAGTTATTAATTATTAAATATTATAAAATATATAAATATATAATATAGAAAATAAAAGAAATCTTATTAAGAAATAATATATTTTTTAAAAAATAAGTCTATATTATTATTATTTCTTTTAATTAAACTAAAAGAATAGCTTTTAATCTTAGATATAAATCTAGTTAAAAAAAATATTTATTATTAATTATAAAAAATAGAAATTCTTTTTAAAAGAGCTGAATGAAAAATAATTTTCTAATATTTTATTATATACTTAATATTAAGATTTAAAAAAAATATAATATAAACTAAAAAGCTACTCTCTGTTTAAATATTATTATAATTTATAAAAATCTATAAAATAAAGAAAGAGAGTTTAATAATCTTCTTTAAGAATAAATTTAATAATTATAATTAATTTATAGTAATCTATCTATCTATATAAGTAGTAAAAAAAATAAAAAATCAGAAACATTCTATTAATATAATATTATTTTACATATATTAAAGTTATATAATAATAATAAGTTTTTATTAAAGATATTTTTTTACCTTACTTATAGATAAAATTATATAATATTTAATAATTATTATATAAGTTAAATTTATAAAAACTATTTATAAAAATCTTTTATAAATAAGTTTTAGAAAGTTTTATAAAAGATTTTTATAAATAGCTTTTAGAGAATCCTACAGAAAATGTTTTTATAAATAATTTTTATTTTATATTTTTTTAATAATAAAATCTACAGAAATCTTTTATAAATCTTTTTAAAATATTATTTAAGTTTTTTTATTATAATTTTTTAAAAATATAGATTTTTAGATAGATTAAGTAGATAGAATAATACAGAATATTATTATTAAATAATATAAATTATTTAAATTATTTAGATTTATAATAAATATTTAAAAAACTTTTTAAATTAATATAATAAATAATTAGTTAAATTATTATTATATAAAAAAATCTATTAAGAGCTATATTAATTTTAAAAAATTATTTAAAAAATATAAATAATATATAAATAATATATAACTAAAACAGAGCTGTAAATATATATATAATATTATTTTATATTATAAAAACAGTTTTTTATTAAAAGCTTAGTTTTAATTATTATTTAAGATAATCTTAAATTAATTAAAATAATATTAAATAAAATATACTGCTTTTTTTTATAATTATTTTTAAAATTAAAATAGTTTATTTTATATAAATTATTAATAAAGATATAAATAATTAGAATAGACAGAAATTAATTTAAGTATATTTTATTTAAACTAAGATTTTAAAAAATATAGTAGATTAATCTTAATATTAAGAATAATTAAAATAATTAATTATTTTATTTTTAATTATTCTATAATTAGATATAAAATAATCTTATATCTAATTATTAATCTAATAAGAGATATAAATTCTTCTATTAATCTATTTTATCCTGACTGTTAGCTACTCTAAGACTAATTATTTTATTTAAATATTTTTATTTATAATTTTATATAAAGAGTATTCTTTTTTCTTAATAATTTTTATAATTATCTGAGATCTTTTTAGATTAATTCCTTTCTTAAATTATAAATATAGCTTGTATAATTAATTAATTAAAAAGTTTAATTATATTCTCTAATTAAATATTCTTATTTTTTATAATAAAGATAAATATTTTTTTTCTAAAGTTTCTGTATAATTATTTATTTTATTAAAAATAGATTTTATTTATATATTTTTTTATACTATGCTGATTTTTAATAATTTATAACTATAATAATATATTCTTAGTTTATAATATTAAATTAATTAATTATTGATAAAGATCAATAATAATTTTATCTTTAAAATCTTCTTTTTATTATAATCCTTTTTATATTATAATTATATTATTATAATTAATTATAATATTTTTTATAGATAAAGATTTTTTATACATTAATAATTATTTACTAAAAAGTATAATTAAGAATATTCTCTAATATAATAATATTTAGATTATTATTTTAGATAGTATTATCAGCTTATATAAATATAATATTAAAATTCTCTAGAAATTCTTTAAAATCTTAATTATTTTAATAATATAAATATAGCTTATTTAATTCTTTTATTTTTAAATTTTTATTTTTATAGACTTTGTTTAACTTGATAATATTATTAATATAAATAATTTTATTATTTAGATTTTAATATTAGAATAAGATTCTTCTTATTATATTATTTTTTAAGTATATAAATATATAGACTATCTTGATAGTATAATTAAAATATATATTTATATTTATTATAAATTTAGAATATAAATATATTTTAAAACTAGAAAAATCTTATTTATTATTTTTATTAAAGACTTTAATTTCTTAATAAAAAGATCTTAATTATATAATTAAATAATTATTTATAAAAACTCTGAAAATATTTTCTGCTGAGATAATAGATTTTTTTATTATTTAAATATTTATAATTTATTATAATTTATTAATTTATTAATTCAATTATTTTTGTTTATTTTATTGTTATATTTTATAATAATTTTATTATTTTATTATTATATTTTATAATAATTTTATTATTTTATTATTATATTTTATAATAATTTTATTATTTTATTATTATATTTTATAATAATTTTATTATTTTTTTATTTACTGGTCTGCTTATTTTAATCTGTATATTAAGTTAATAAAATATTATATTTATATTAAATATTTTATTATCTTCTTATATATAGTTAATCACTAATTTATAATATTTTTTATATATTATTAATATTTTAATTATATAATTAATTACTAAATTATAATATTTTAATTAATCTATTCTAATTTATATATAGCTAATTACTAAATTATAATATTTTTTTAAAACATTATCCCTAATATCAAAAACAGAACTTATAGGCCATAGAGAATTAAGTCTATATATATATATATATATAATAACTAATATTTAAAAGAGAATTCTTAAAAATCTGATAATTTTATATATATATATATAACTCAGCAGATATTAGTCTAATAAAACAGACTAGTCAAGTTAGATAGCTCTGGGATATATCCCATAGGGCCATAATATTAACCTGTATTTTAACTGTTAGCCACTCTAGCCAGGATAGGTTAATAATAACAGTTAAGAAATTTAGATAATAGTTAAAGTATTTTATAAAAATTAAAATAAATATATAATTATTATTTAAATAATAAATATAATCTAAACTAGATAATTATATAATTAATTTCTAAATTATATAATATATAGATATTACTATAAAATACTTTATAATTAAAAATTATTATATAAAATAAGTCTAAAATTAATTAATTATATATTAAATATAGTCTAACTGTATTAAATAATATTTAAAATATAATTTATAAATAAATATTAAATATTCTTTTAAATTTAATTTTAAATCTTATATTTTATAATTTATTTAGATCTAATATACTTTTTAAGAGATTGATTTTTAACCTGTATTTTAACTGTTAGCCACTCTATATATAATATTAGATTTATAAATATATTTTAATATATAAACTTTTTGTTAAATTTAATTCTTAATCTTATAATAATCTATAAATATTATAATAACTTTAAAAGATATAACTTAAAAAATAAATAAATTTCAAAAAAAGATATTATTAATATATTAATTCTGTTAAGATATTGGGATTACTCTATAGACAATCTCAGAGCAGTAAGCCGCGTAGGGGTTGGTTAGCAAGGTAAGGTAGGTAGATACTACTAGGTAAAGGAGAGGTAAGGTATCCTTTTGTATGGTAATCCTAGAAAATGGTGGCTCGGCCAACCACCGCAACTACATACACTAGTACGGTGTACCTACATACCTAGGCCAATGTTATGAAGACCACACGTCATGTCGAGTACTAGTTTTAAAGAACTGGCAAACTCCTGGGGCTTTCCTACGACTGTTGTTCTGTACCTAGGAGCCAACGGATGTGTAAGGACTTCCGCCGTTTCTTAAGGTACGAAGACCTTAGGTAAGTTAATGTTCCCCCCCCTTCTTTCTATTTTCCCTGGAGTTCTCTGTTGAAGTGCCTAGCTAACTACTAGTACCTTGTAGGTACTAACGCCTGCCGTGGTATTCTTCAGTTCAATTACCATCCTGCCTTCCCTTCCTTTTGACCTCCATAACTGAACACTCCTTGAATATTGGTAATAATAACCAAGAGGAATGGACAACCTGTAATCTGCGAGTTCAATTGCTGGCGACTTTATTATCTATTGAAGAATAAAACGCAAAGGCCAAGTGAACTCGGGGTTGAGACCCAATACGATGTAAACAGGTACCAAAATGGCACCGCAGAACGAGAAAAGCTCTCTCAAGCGCGGCAGGGTACTTGCTTGCTTATCCCCCTACCATTGCTCTCCAAGAACTAATCATGTTATGATCGTGTAGGCTAGCACCGATAACGACTCGCAGCATCTCAAAAAACCACGATGCTCTGAAAGGATTGATTTTCAAAACAAGCCACGAGCCATAGACAATGAGTTGTATTTGCCTACGCCAGTGACCCAAAAGGACTCAACTGCTACAGACGTCATAGAAGAGACGACAACTACACCTAATACTTTCAACCAGATTTCTCCTCGGTATACGCCCTCTAACTCGGAAAACTTCCAGACTAGCCCACCTGCTGGTGATACTCAGGCCCTTTCGCAATTTGTCTATCCCCCCAGAGCATTTGCCGACGAAGTCGAAGATGAAGCCGCAGAGGGCGTCTGGGGCTATTTGATACCGCTTGATGACAAAGTCCAACATGCTCTAGTCTTGAGAAAGCGCGGGAATTGCGAAGAACGCAAGCACCCAGGATCCATGGCTAGGTCCAGAACGGAAGCACGGAATAAAAGCACAGAAATCGCGGACAGACAGGGACCTGTTTCTCAAATACCAGGCGGCTATCTGATAGGGCGCCATCATGAATGTGGTAGGTAATAATTCCAAAAGTGTGGAGCCGGCGTCTAACAAAGAGTGTAGACCTGGTGCTCAACATCCCTACTATTTCAAATCGCCACTTTTTGGTATTCCCAGAAAATAGAAGAGGAGATTCGATCGCAATGTTGGGGGATCTGTCCAGCAATGGTACCTTTGTCAATGACGCAATTGTAGGCCGGAACAAGCATCGTGAACTGGAAGATGGTGATGAGATCACCATTTTAGACGAAGCACGCTTCATTTTCAGATACCCCCGGGCACGAGACACAAACCGTTTCCGTCAACAGTACAGGATTCTGCAACAGCTAGGGAAAGGTCACTTCGCCACTGTCTACCTTTGTGTAGAGCGAGCTACAGGAACACAATATGCCGTGAAGGTGTTTGAGAAACGTTCCAGCGACTCACAGCGCCCACAGACCGATACTTTGCAGCAGGAAGTTGGCCTTTTGATGGGAGTCAGTCATCCGAACCTGCTTTGTCTCAAAGATACCTTTGACGAAAGCGATGGTGTGTATCTTGTTCTGGAGCTTGCTCCAGAAGGCGAGCTTTTCAATGTGATTGTTAGCAGACAGAAATTTACGGAGAGTGAGACCCGTCATATATTCATTCAACTTTTTGAAGGCCTGAAGTATTTGGTAGGTTCTACAACTGTCTCTGTTTTTCCTTCCATCCCCTGTACTGTTCATCAATAACTAAAGCGATTACAGCATGACCGTGGCATCGTTCATCGGGACATAAAACCTGAAAACATCCTTATTGTGGATAAAAGTCTCACAGTCAAACTTGGCGATTTTGGTCTGGCTAAGATCATTGGGGAAGATTCGTTTACAACAACATTGTATGTTATTTCTCCCATGTTATCTGTATGTGTTCCTATTAACATGGTCTTTTCATGAATAGGTGTGGGACACCAAGCTGTGAGTCACTTAATCTGTCTTGCCATTAACTCAAATTAATTTATATCTATTATCTAGATGTTGCACCGGAAATTCTGGAAGATTCACTCCGCCGAAAGTATACCAAGGCTGTGGATATTTGGTCACTTGGAGTTGTGCTATACATTTGCCTTTGTGGATTCCCCCCATTTTCCGATGAGCTATACACATCTGAGCATCCGTACACCCTGGCACAGCAGATAAAGTCCGGGCGGTTCGACTATCCGTCGCCATATTGGGACTCTGTTGGTGACCCAGCTTTGGATTTAATAGACCGAATGCTTAAAGTCGATGTCAACAAGCGAATTACGGTCGACAACTGCCTGGAACACCCGTGGCTTAAAGGAAACTACCCAAGTGCATCTGACAGCACAGAGGGTCTAAGTGGAGCCCTAGAGAGGTTGGACTTCTCTAAACGGAAACTAGCACGTGAAAGGACACTTCTCAGTTATATCAACGATGTTCTGCATGTTGAACAGAAGCAGGGAAGCAGTGCCCCTGTTAGGGTTTTCCACAAAAATGATGCTGGGAAACGTGTTCATAATCACCCAGCTAAGGGTAAACAGCAACGTGAAGCATCTCCCGATGAAAACAGCACCCCTCAACAGTTCCTCAATCTTGGGGAACGGGGCGACCCAGTCCTATTCGAGAATAAGCCGCCGTGCGACCCCAAATGAAAAAGAGTGCTGTTTAGGGTAGTTTTTTTCTCCGACACTAGGCCCCTCGGTATCATGAAATTGTGTGCATGGTTGTAATAGCTTGAGTATGGCGCTCAACTTCGCTATTTTTGCCTGCTGCTAAATGGGCAGGCTTTCCCATGGCACAATGTTTACTCGAGTATATGTGTATTATCACACATAACTTAGAGATTGCATGGATAAATGTAAATTGATTGTTGTAGACTGAAAGCTTAGACACCAATGGCACGGGTAGCGTAGCGCTGTCCTTTTTTTTTTTTTTTTTTTTTTTTTTTTTTTGAGTATCTATTGGAAGAGAGCTCTGGCGGTCGCACACCAGGGCAAGTATGGGATTGGATGAAAACCACTACTACTTTGTAGTACTTGAAGGGTATAATTGAATGCTGTAAGTGGGAAAGGCAGTGGGGGAAATCCGCATAATAGCAAGCACATAGGGGTGTAATCAAGAGACACCCCCTATTGCTACCGCGACACCATCTACTATGTTCCACCTCACATTATTTCATTCAAACATTAGGATCCACTTACACCCCCGTATTAATAATAATAGGGGCTTGACCAACGCCTTGCGGTTGATTCGACGCGCCCTATCTTAACAGGGGTTAGTTAGTATTACCATGTGATTCTTATTTATAGTGCCAAACCTACAGAGTAGTATCTATCTATCTAGTACTATGTACGGAATAATAGCACTAAGATTAATTAGCCTGCAGGCTGAATTCATGAGTGGGTTGGCTAAGCGTAGGCTAACTTGAATAGATATGTACAGGGGTCAGAATAAGAATTCTTTACCTCTATTTTCCTATTTTCCATCTCTCCATAAAACATAATAATGCACAACCCACTCTCTACCTTTTACCCTATACCCTAGTAGCTAGTTAATTCTTAAATAGGCAATTTACTCTATTAATCAGCGGGTGTTGGTCGAACATAATCCCCCCGCGTTCATGCGACGTCTTCTTTCCCAAGGCAGAAAAAGGCGTTAGTCAAACTGAGGGGGCTGTCACCCGAATGTTACTTTGGAGGGGTCCCGGGTGAATAGGACCTGCTAGCAATAAGTCCCTCTCTCTGGAGCAAAGGATACCAATACTGGTAATTTAAATTAAACCTAACCAGATAATCCTGTGAAACAATATTACTCAACTAAAGAGGTGTCGAGATATCCAGATAGGGTGTGATGTTGATATATTTTGATACATCCCCTAATTTACCGATGGCGCAGCAGCTACGGAGTATTAATTTTCCTACTCACCCCTTCATCCCATTTGTCTGGGCCTACCATGATTATTCTAAGAGGTGCCTCTACTGGAGACACTCCTTCTGAGAACATACCCTCTCAACCTGTGTGGACCAGTTCGGTCCTGTTATTGCGCAATTATGGGGTTTCTTGCAATTATTCTTAATGATCTTTACAAATTCTGCTCAGACTTCTCAACACTAGGGATTTTTGGCATTGGATTATTTTCTCTGCTTGCTTTATCTATTACCATTAATATTGTGAAGCAGCTTGTGTTTAAGAACCCTAATGAACCCCCCTTGGTATTTCACTGGCTTCCCTTCATAGGCAGTACCATCAGCTATGGCATGGAACCATATAAATTTTTCTTTGATTGCCGCGCAAAGGTGTGTTTAAACATGTCAATTCACTCTCGGACACTATAGTTGACTAATTTTATTCTAGTATGGTGACATATTTACCTTTGTTCTCCTAGGCAAGAAGACGACAGTTTATCTAGGCACCAGGGGTAATGACTTCATTCTTAATGGGAAATTGCGAGATGTCTGTGCTGAAGAGGTGTATTCCCCGCTTACGACACCTGTATTTGGGCGTCATGTTGTATATGACTGTCCTAATTCCAAACTTATGGAGCAGAAGAAGGTAAGCTCGGTTATGCTGATAAAGCAGTCAATATACATATTAATAAAACTAGTTTGTGAAATTTGGCCTGACGTCTGATGCATTGCGCTCGTACGTACGCTTAATCACTAACGAGGTGGACGATTTTGTCGAGAACTCCGCAGCTTTTCAAGGACCAAACGGTGTTTTCGATGTATGCAAAACAATCGCCGAGATCACCATATACACAGCTTCACGCTCTCTTCAGGGAAAAGAAGTCCGGAACAGATTCGATTCTACATTTGCCGAATTGTACCATGATCTTGACATGGGCTTTGCCCCCATCAATTTCATGCTGCCTTGGGCGCCTCTTCCCCATAACCGGAAGCGCGATGCTGCACAAAGGAAGATGACCGAAACATACATGGAAATCATCAGACAACGTCGTATGGGCGGCAATGAAAAGGACTCGGAAGACATGGTTTGGAATCTTATGTCCTGCTCATACAAAAACGGCACTCCTGTACCCGACGAAGAAATTGCGCATATGATGATTGCTCTACTCATGGCTGGTCAGCATTCTTCTTCGTCTACAGCTTCGTGGATTGTCTTGCAGCTTGCGATGCACCCAGACATCATGGAGGAGCTGTACAGTGAACAAATCCGCGTTCTTGGATCCGACCTTCCTCCTCTTACTTATGAGAACTTACAGAAGCTGGATTTGCATGCTAAAGTGATCAAAGAAACCTTACGCATCCACGCACCCATTCATTCTATAATTCGCGCGGTCAAGAACCCAATGCCTGTTGATGGCACACCATATGTGATTCCAACTTCTCATAACGTCCTTTCCTCGCCTGGTGTCAGTGCAAGGTCGGAGGATTATTTCCCCAATCCTCTTAAATGGAATCCTCACCGTTGGGACGAGACAATCGCAGCCAACGCTGAAGAAGATGAGGAGGAAATTGATTATGGGTATGGTCTCGTTAGCAAAGGAACCAATAGCCCATACCTCCCGTTTGGCGCAGGGCGGCATAGGTGCATTGGTGAACAGTTTGCTTATGTACAGCTTGGTGCAATAACTGCCGCCTTGGTCAGGCTGTTCAAGTTTCGTAATTTGCCAAATTTCAAGGATATCCCGGAAACGGACTACTCGGTGGGTATATTGCTACTATCTTATTTTTTGCAAGGACTAACGCATCGCAGTCTCTCTTCTCTAAACCTGCTGGCAAATCAGTAATTCAATTTGAAAGACGCGCCCCAGTTACAAATTCACGATAGCCCGTCTTTCATTATTCCATAAAGCTTGTGGCTATCTAAGCATGATTGCTACTCAAAACCTGTTGAGTAGTACGATATGATTGGCTTACAATGACAGTCCCATGGCTTCTGGTTTGAAGGGTTTCGGTGTCCGGCTTCCACTTCTTGAAAATAATGACTGCCTGTCCGATATATGTATGTATAATAATGAGTTGGAGGTTTAGTGTACCTTCTTTAAGATCTGCTTATGTTTACAATGCTCTTCAATAAATGTATTTTCATGAGATTTGCAACCTAGCAAGGACATGATCCTCATCTGTCTCGGGCTCTCCAGTTGTCATATTGTTTTTAAGTTTATTCCCGATCTCGAATATGACCCAACTAGAATTGTTTGTGACGCAAATATAGTACATGTGAGAATATATGCTATCCGCTTCAAGATCCAAAAAGAGCAAACAAGCAGGTCGGCATGTACTCCATCTTGCTTTGCCCTTCCGTCAAATCTCTTTCTTTCTCTCCTCGCTCCTTTTCTTGGCCCGGACTTCAGCGCGCCTCCTCTCACCACCATCCACTTTGTGACCTAGCTTGTCTTCCCACATGCCCTCTTGGACCTTGATTAAGGCCGCACGACCATTTGAGCCTTTAATCGGCTGAAGGAAGGGACCCTGAATAAATGATCCGTGGTTGATTTTCATGTGTGCGAACTTTTTGAGTGGCTTCGAAGGATCGTAGGTAAAATCGGTTGCATCTGGTAGGACGTTGACGACAACTCTTCTCATTCCCGGCGACAAAGTGGCCGAAGCAGTCAATGGGCGTGGTGCATCCTTTTCCGATTTTGAATGCTTGAGCTCAAACGGAACCTCAACAACTCGGAGCTGCGCAACGCCGTCGACCACGGTTTCCAGATCCCCACCAGGTCCATATAACCCACTCCTGAACTTCTCTCTTTTGCGCAGGAGATATCGCCGCTGGCGCGCGGGCTCAATTCCCAGTTCCCGAAGTTCTGGGGAACTCAGGTTGAAAAGACTTTCCCATGAAGGCAGTTTGCTCGCATACTTGGACATTCCACGACCAATTAGAGAAAGAAAAGTCTGGACATCGGGAACAAAAGGTGTCGGGGATGGCGCAGAAGCGCCACGCGTGTCTTTATGGAAGTTTCGCAAAAGCTGACTGCTGATAGTAAAGGGCTTTGTAACTTGCAGGGACAAGCGGTGCGAGCTTCGCATCGCCATGGTGGGCTAGGCTATTCCTGTGACTTCACAAGATAACAGATGCTGTGTTAGAGCCAGTGATCACTTGAATGCTATCAAATTCTCTGGGAGGGATGATGAAGAATCAAATGCGCGGAATTATACAACACCGTCGGCCTCTTCACTGTTGATGGTTATAATGGGACTTGGTGTGGACTGAAGTGTCTTGGTTCGGACCTGAGAAATTTCGGTGATATTGGCCTGTCTTTATTGCCGGGATCAACAAAACTCCGAAGGTCAACTTGCTGTAACAACAGCAACACAATAATACCACTGGGTTGGTCGACCTATCTATCAGCCTCGCACCTTGAATAATCTATGGAAGTTTCCTGTCACCAGATCTCATTATACAGAGGTTACGGTAGCAGAGGCATTTTTGTATGAAAATTACAGCAGTCTTTTCTTCCCACCCTCTGATCGAATGTGTCTAAGCAAGTAATGGCGGTCTCACCCTCAGTTCCCCATGCCCAAACGGTTGCAATCTCAAGTCCTACTACAACCAGCAGACTGGGGAAGAATCTTCCCATGACCAACTCTCCCAGTAAGAGGAAGAAAACCCCCCTTTCGCCCCAATCTATGCAGACCCCAGACCGTGAAATCACGGAACAATTGAACGACGATGTGAGGCAAAAATATGTCAAGGGTAAAACGCACCTATCTCTTATATAACATAATTGTTAACTCCTTTTCTCATCATAACCATTTCCAAGAAAGATAGGCTTTCTAATAATCATTTTGCAGATAAAAAGCTGGGAGAGGGTACCTATGCCGTAGTATTTCTCGGCCACCTTAGAAACGATCCGTCATCTTTCGTTGCGATAAAGAAGATCAAAGTCAATGCTGAATACAAAGATGGGCTTTCCATGGACGCTATCCGTGAAGTCAAGTACTTGCAAGAACTTTCTCATCCAAGTATAATTGCACTCCACGATGTCTTCTCTTCCAAAGATCAGAACCTCAATCTCGTCTTAGAGTATCTGCCGCGTGGTGATCTGGAAATGCTCATCAGGGATAGTCATATTCATTACGGTGCCGCCGACGTCAAGGCTTGGATGGGTATGCTTGGCAGAGGCGTCTGGTTTTGCCACGAAAATTTCATTTTGCATCGGGATATCAAACCCAATAACCTACTTATCGCTGCTGACGGGGAGGTCAAACTGGCGGACTTTGGTCTGGCCAGATCGTTCGCTGATCCCTATCTTAACATGACTCACCAGGTAATTACACGTTGGTATCGACCTCCGGAGCTGCTGTTTGGTGCGCGACAATACTCTGGTGCAGTCGATGTTTGGTCAATGGGAATGGTTTTCGCGGAACTTCTTCTCAGGGTCCCATTTGTTGCAGGAAACTCTGATCTGGATCAGATCTCAAAGATTTGTGAAGCTTTCGGGACACCGAATGAAGAAAACTGGCCAGGGGTAACCCGATTACCCAACTATATCCCCGCGGATTTGAATCACATTTCCCCGTTACAAGGTCGGGATTTCTTTCTCAGGCAGTTTCCAACAGCTGGGCCTGTTGGCGCAGACCTCCTCATGTCTATGTGTACTTTGGATCCAAAAAAAAGGAACACTGCCTTCGGGATTCTTCAACACGGATGGTGGCTTACAGAGCCGAAGCCAACCCAAAAGCAAGATCTTCCAAAAAAATCCGGCGGCACTAAGAAAATGGGTGATGATTTGACTAGACGAGGTGGGGAACTTGATGACGCCCCTTTTAAAAATGCTGCCCGGCAGTTAGATTTCGACATTGCTAGAGACTAGCTCACGGATATACTATCAGATCCGGGGCATTCATCGCCTCCTACTTACAGCGGATGCCACTGTCAGGGATGTCAAGGCAACGTATGGTTAACAGAACGCAGTCAGTGTGAATGGTTCACATCCAAATAATGGAAAAGTCAGTCAAATATACCGCTGCTTTTTGAATTAGTGGCATGTACTACCTTACCTATGACAAGAAGGGGTGCACAGGGGCGGGCGGTTGATTGAGTAGAAGTACGACCCATTTATTTATTACTTCGGGAAGGTATCTACCAAGGTACAACAGGTACTCCGTACGGAGTACCTAATACTAGCTACTATCTACCGAGTAGTAAGTAGCATGTAGATCCTACTGATAGTAAGGAGTACGGAGTAAGCCGACCTACCTTCATGTAAATAGGGTGGTGGTGGTGGTGGTGGTGTTAAAACCAGTGCTTAACATCCTCCGGTGCGGACACATATACTAGTATGGAGGAATATGTTTTTCAATAACATGAGGAAGACTTCTTTAGTTTCTCCCATTTAAAAAATAAAGAGAAGAGAGGGGGTAGCCTAATTGCTTGTTGGGCCCATAAACAAGCGGTATGTTGACACATAGGTACGACTACTGTGTCCGCGGATACCGAGAAGCCTTTAGGATAAGAAAAGAGGTGTTGCGCGTGGAACTAGATACTGATCTGTTTGACCCCGGCTGAGTCAGCGGCCAACCAACGAATTTAGGAGGTGCCGTGCAGTGCACCAGCTCCACAACTCCGTACCTAATACATGCTAGTGTGCCTTCTATTACTCCGTACTGTATCGAGCATCCATAGTACTACTACATACCTTCAAGGAGGTATGTACTTATCTATGCATGTGACTAAGTACTACTTACTATATGAGGCTCTGAGGTTTAAAAGCTGTTGCCCAATCACTGTACCCAGTGCAACTTAGACGTGACTTGGTAAATGCCCTGGCTAATTACAGATAGCCGTGGTATATGTGACTGCCAGCAATAAGCTACCAATGATATCGTTGCTCTTCTACCCAGCGTTTATCGTAAGTTACTGCACCACGTTCCTCCCACAGGGGCCAGCCACTATCCGTCCCGCACGGGACTAAAGGTTAAAAGACCGGCCCTTGGAGGCCCTTTAACCCAACGCCTCGCTTTCGAATGTTGCACACTCTGCTTGAATAGATAATTCGCTCGTCCCCTGTTTGTGCTTATATCCCTTCAGAGGTGAACACCCATATTACTGGGAGATTTTTGGATCTCGCGTTGCAGTCACAGCCCTGACAGGTTGCCGATGCTCATGTGAGTTCAATGAGCAGAGTTGTCTTCCATACCGATTCTTCCCCTCCCCGGTACGCTTCTTTTTCCCTTTCCCTACATCCCATCAACAAAGAGACTTCTGCAAGCGGCACAAGTCTCAGCCGCAGTAAATGCTATGGGGCTTCGCTCGTTCAAGTCTAACTTCTTTCCGTGGCTCTGCCCTATCCCTTCTTGGCTTGTCTAATCGAATCTTGTTCTTGTAGCTTGTCTATATCAATTTCGAGAGTTTAAACTCACTCACACGGATGGCCACCACAAAGCGCACGCGATAAGACGTCGGGGTCCATTAATCTGCAAATACCAAAGTAACCTCGCCGATTCGTGAGATGTCGACCCAACCGCAATCGTCACGGACCGCCACAAACTCTTCGGCTGGGCCCGGTCCTAAATATCCAGTTCCAAAGTCCAGGAAAAGCCTACACATGCCGTCTGAAACATCGAGGGCACTGTCTCCATCTCAGATATCTCTCAAAACACGCACTCCTTCAAGTCCTAGGCCAAGCCTTAGCAAACCACTGTCGTCTGCCTCAATAACCTACAACGCCGCGTCGAGCACTGCTACCGGCCCCAGAGTCTCGAGCAGCCCTGATGGATCTCTGCGGAGAACCATCAGCATCGCAGCCTTTCCCCAACCGCCCAAGGCAGGCAGCCGTTTGTCTACTGCATCTTCGACTGTGGGCGTGAATTCTTCTGGGAGTGTAAAAGCTAGGAAAAGCTCACGCCTAAGCACTGAAACGACCAATAGCTGCCGAAGTTCCAAGACAGCCTCGCTACTGGGTGGTGCTGGGGATATTAAACCTGTTATATCTGCCGAAACCCGAGACATGGATGCCTCGCCCCCGCAAAGCAGAAGCTCATCTGCACAAGAATCTTACTCAACAAGTGCGACAACCTTCGAGGACGCGGATGAAGGAGTTAGCATGTCCAAGTCGAATCACAAGCTGAAAGAGACCAAAGGTAACGTTATTGTCAGCGTTCGAGTGCGTCCTGATGCGGCCGGAGTCGACAATACAAAGACAGCCGAATGGGCCGTAGATGGGCGGCGTGGCCTCATCTCTTACAACGGTAAAGAAGGTGGTGATTATCTCTACGGTAAGGGCGTTCATAACCACTGAACTTAAGAAACCCTCACTTACTCCTCGCCGTTTCTCTCTCTAGATAACGTGTTCTCCGCTCATGAACATAACGCTAAAGTTTACGATGCTGCCGCCAAACGCCTAGTGAGGCGGGTAATGGAAGGATATCATGGTACTGTCTTTGCATACGGTATGACTGGTACGGGCAAGACATTTTCCATGCAAGGAACCGCAACATCACCGGGGGTGATTCCGTTAGCAATAACGGACATTTTCTCTTTTATAAGGGAAACACCACATCGAGAATTTTTGTTGCGTGTCAGCTATCTAGAGATTTATAACGAAAAGATCAATGATCTGCTTTCAGCATCGACTTCCAATGGGCCAGCGACCTCTCAACAGGAGGAAATCAAGTTGCGCGAAGACAGCAAAAGAGGCGTGTATGCAACCCCTTTGAAAGAAGAGATTGTCCAGAGCCCGACGCAGCTTCTGCGCGTGATAGCGAGAGGCGATCATGCTAGAAGAACCGGCAGCACGCAGTTCAACTCTCGCAGCTCTCGAAGTCACGCCGTTGTTCAAATTGTTGTGGAAAGCCGAGAGCGAGTACCTGCTGGGGTTTCTCAGGACAGACGATCAGGCTTGGTCCCAGGTGGAGTCAGAGTGTCCACACTGAGCCTCATTGACCTTGCTGGATCAGAGCGTGCTGCTGACGATAAGGAGCGCCGTACTGAAGGTGCGCATATAAATAAGAGCTTGCTTACTTTGGGCACAATTATCTCCAAACTGTCAGAGGCCAGAGATAGGAATGGCAATACTACTGATAGAGAGGGAAAGCATTTGCCATATCGAGACAGCAAACTCACAAGACTGCTTCAACCTGCCTTGTCAGGAAATTCCTTGGTCAGCATACTTTGCACTATCCAATTGGGTGGTGTAGCCAAGTCACACTCCGGCGAAACCCTCAACACCCTGAAGTTTGCAGCTCGGGCCAAGAACAGCATAGTTAGCCATGCCAAACGAGCAGAAGAGGCATTCGGCAGTGGCGGAGGTGATGGAGGAAGCCGGGTTCTGCTGGAACGGTATCGTATGGAAATTCAGACGCTGCGTAACCAGTTAGAGAGTCAGACCGAAGCCCAAGTTGAGAAAGAGCTCAGGCTTGAAGAACAACAATTCGAAAAAGAAGCACAGGCACGTCATGAAGAGCAAATGCTTGAAATGCAACTTGCTCGGACGGCACTAAAGGAAAGGATTGAACACTTAAATCGTCTCATACTGTGTTCAAAGTCTACCGGCGTGAATACCCATGGAAGCGTATCCGCTCTTGGTCGACTCTCTAGGATGTCAGCCATCGAAACTGGATCTCGATCTTTACGTTCTTCAATCAGTCAGTCAACTTTGGGTGCATACGGGCACTCTTCATTTCGACCTATCTCCTTCCTTTCCGTCAACAGTAATGAGCCTTCCGGAAATCTGGTCTTTTCTAGCGGGCATGAAGAAGAGGAATTCATCGGGGAATTCGCCGACGGCAAGGCAAGCGCTCAGAGACAGATTGCAGCCCTCCAGGATGACCTCAACGACAAAAATCGCTACATTGCCACACTGGAGAGACGTCTTCTGCAAGCACGGCGTTCTAGTCATTCCCGGATGTCTATAGGGATGAAGCCTGGAAATATCAATTCTGATTCGGCCGATCTTACGTCTTTGCTGAGGGAAAAGGACATCGAAATCAATGATCTTCGTCTGCAGCTGGATGACAAAGACCGCATGCTCACCGCCCTTCGTTCTGCTGCTCGACATCGCGATGCCGCACATTCCACAACTGATGCATTTGTTTCCGAGGCGAAAGATAAACTTGAATGCCAGCCTTCGCGCGATGCCGAATATTCACCAGCTTATGATTTGCCTCTTGGTCTTTCCTCCCCCCCAAAAGTGGGAGATTCGGAGGGAAATGAGCGAAACATAGACGATGACGTATCGCGTATCCTTGATGAGATGATTCAAGATCGTGTTGAGAGTGGCCATTTGATCAAAGGCTCCCGTGGAAGCGTTCGAATTGCTACGGAAAGTCGACGGACATCTGAATCAATGGCTGATGTTTTGGGTTTGAGCACGGGTGCTGCAGATCTGGCGAGATCTCTTCAAGGTCCTCAATATACATAGGATCCTCTCTATATCTTTTTGTCTATTTCCTTCTTGACATGCGTCCCCTTCGATTGCTCTTCTGCTGTTGCGGCTTACGCGGGTCATGTTATTTCATGTCGCCCTTGCTATGTTCTATTTTCTTGCTTCTACGCGTACTTATAGTCTGCTCCCCCTGAACCCGCCCAAATATCCCTGTTTATGCCTCGGTTATGATTCGCTCACCCCCCCCCAATTTTTTCTTTTTTTATTTTTTTTCTCTTCGACAATACCCTTCTTGTGTGACCTAGATACCCGGATTTTATTTCTTGACCCTTTGCCTCACCCTGTTTTTCCATCGAACTCATCTTATATCATTTTTGATAATGAACTAACGAAGGCAACATGGGCGCCAAAAGACTGTCGTTTGTTAACATCCTCCGTGTCAAATCTTCACTGATGTATTAGAATCAATCCCAGAGGACATGGTACGTTCGACTTGGCCGCTCTAAAGCGATCGTGCGCAGAACAGCCATCATTATGCCATTTAGGGTGTTAGAAATCACAGTTCTTCCAAGGATTGCCACAGTAAGACACAGTTATATGTGAGATGATGCCCCGAGTTAGTTGAAGCTTAGGCTACATTGTTTTGCTATCGTCTTGCTACTTGTAAATTAATAGACACTTTATTGATCACCTGAAGCCACTAGTAAGGCAAGCTTAATTTTCTTCTCCACGAATGCAATACTCATCTGCGCAATTAGGAATGGGAAGAGCATAATGAAATTGGACCTGCAATAATAAACATGTCTCTGCCAGTTCTCAAGTTGTTACGCCTTCATTCCTGAGACTCAAGCTGTCATTAGAGGTTGTATACCTAGGTCCCACTTCCAGTCAGCCCCTACATAAAAATCCGAAAACTATGGGACAATGTATATTCATAATTCACATCCACGTCGTCATTTTTTTCTTTGATATCCTTTCATTCAAGCAACAATCTCAATTTCTGATGTTCTATCTTTGGCGTATACATCTTTCCATTCTTCCCACAACCTTTCCAGCTCCTGGACATACAAGGTATGGAGATGATTGATGTATTCATCATTGATCTTGCCCCTATCATGTTGCTGTATAACCCGAATTGGACGACCAACCACAATGTTCAACGGTCGACGATATGGCATCAACCCCACATCATAATTAAATACGCCTCGTGCATGGAATAATGGGATGGTGAATCCCATTATACTCTTGACCAGCATCTGAAGTTTGTGTATGAGGGGGTGATTTTCAGAACGAACTTGTTCATACAAATCATTTTCACCGAATGCCAAAACTGGTACGAGATCAGCGCCTGTGTGAATAGCCAACTTTATAAAGCCCTTACGCCTTTTGAGCACAAGGCGCAAGGTGTTTGGGAGGGCATCAAGTGACTCGCGTGCACCGCCTATAACAATGGTAATAGCGCGGCCCATCCCCTCGCCATCTATGCCACCATTGGTGAGCAGGTTCTCACATGAGTCACGCGAAACACTGGCAATTCCCATGGCAAGTGCATATTCCCTGTAAAGGGGAATTCGAAAATTTGAGTCAAGGGTAAGCAGTGTATTTGTAATTCCTGGAAAGAGCCTTGAGAACCCAAGAGCTTCGGTCGCAAACGCTGCGAACGCGCCATGGGATATTATTCCATGAGGGTGATATCCAAATATATATTTCCGAGTAGGAAGAAGAGGTTCCGAGCGATGCAACTGAGCTGGAAAGTATGATGCATATATTGACCACACACCAAGTGAACGTAACAAGTTACACCGGCCACTCAGACTTCCTGATGTAGCTGCAGTTGAGAAAAGTGAGGTGTAAACCAGATAAGGCAGAAGAAGAGGCCAGAATAGAGGAATTGCACAGGTGAAAAAGAAAACCGTTAGAAAGATCGCTATTGTGAGGGTGTGGCATAGAACCACAAAAGTCTGCAAGCGGCGCTCCAGGCCAATATTGAGCGGTGCCCAACGAATACTGGGCTGCATGTTAGCCATGGAGATTTTTTTTTTTAAAAAAAAAAAAAAAAGTGCCCACGGCCTTGAGTACTTACCTTGTCTCCCTGCGTTCCTTTAACTGTTCGCGAGGAGGGTGAGGCCCGATACTACTAGGGTGCACAGATGTGTTTTTCTCGTATTGTGACCCTGCCTGCCCTCGGAGCCTCTCCAAGAAGCCTTTGGCAGGCGTATGCTGGTGCGCCGCATTTTGTCGGTTTTCTAGAACAGCAGGGGTTGAAGTACTGGAGGCCAGCATCCGTGAATCAGACATATAGACCACTAGGTTGCAGAGTCCAGGCGGGTGTATGTTGGTGCTAAAGTTGGTTTTTATGTTTATGGTTGAATCAAGACCGTCTCAACGGAGAGGTTGGTCAGTGGACATGAGCCTGAGTCTCGCTGGGCCGACACAAAAGGATCCCTACAAACTTGGTGATTAGCCTAGCATTAGAATTGTCGATGGCACTGGGAGTAGACCATGGAAGAAATGTATCTTCCTACCTCCTTGGATGGATAACTTCGCTTCTGACAATACATAAACTGTAGGTACGGAGTAGATACGCAAAATTTTTGATATATGCTACTACAGAGAACAAAGCACTTAATATAATTGGACAACAAACCACCGGGACAACAAGCCGCGGCGGTTGGCCGCTCCGCCTATCTAAATATAATAATTAATTTAAAATAAAGCAATTTAATACTATACAGATAATATATATATAGAATTAGACTAGATATTAATTTTTCTGAATATTTAAAATAATTATAATCTTTTTTATTACAGTTACTGTAGTAAAATAATTAATATTAAGTGTTTTACGTAATCTATTTTTATATAATTCTTATATTTTTTAAGTAATTAAATATATAGCATAGCTATCTAAAGTATCTTTTTTTATAAAAAATATTTTAAAATTTTTCTCTTATTCTTATTTCTTTCTATATTAATTTATTATATAAAATTAATTTAATTCTTATTAAAATATTATAATATTTTATATTATTGTTTTCATCTTTTTACTTATCTTTTTAAGTAGTTGAATGATAATAAATAATAATAATCCTGTTTTTTATAATGTTTTAATCTTTTCTTTTTAATAATTTAATTAATAAAGAGTTAAAGATATTTTTCTAAAATATATAGATTAATTAGATAATAATATTAAAAATAAAAAAGATATTATATTCTTTAATATCTTAAGATTTTAAAATACTCTTTTTAAATTATATAATAAAAGATCTATTATAGCAAAGTCTTGCTTTTTATTTTTTATATTAAAGTTTTTAGAATTTTTTTTATAATAATATAAAAAGAAAATTTTATATAATAGATATTTTTATTAGCTGTGTCTTGAATTTAATGGCTGTATAAAATCTTTAGTAATATAAAATAAATAATATTGAATAATTAAAATTTATAAGATAAATAAAATAATATATATAAAAAGATACTTAATCTTTCTTTATAAAATTAATTAAGTTTATAATTAAATAACTTTTATAATCATTACGAATAAAAAAAATTAATATTAATTTACTAATTACTGTTTTTAAGACTATATATATATTAAAATATCGAAATTAGTTAAAAGCAAGACTACTATTTATTTATTCATTATTATTATTATTAATACTAATTTATTAATTATTAAAAATGGCTTTCAACTACTTCTTCTACTATATTTTATCTATAAAAATAATATATAAAAATAGTATAATTTCTGCTGCGCTGAATATAATAACTAAAGTAATCTATTTATAATTTTCAGATTATATAAATCTTATATTAATTGTATAGTATTTAGTATTATAAATAATTTTTATAAATAAAATTACTTTTATTTAAAATCTTACTTTTTTATATTATAAATATTATATTTAAAAATCCTATACTTTAATATAATATTTTTAATTAATTTAAATTATTAATTTATAATACTGAGATTCCTGAATTTTATCTATTCATAATTAAAATATTAAGTATATTTTAACTTTAATTTAATTTAATAATTACTAATAAATATATCATTTTTAATATTTTCTAATCTTAATTTTAATATCAGAAGAATCTCTGTAAAATATTATATTTTTATAATAATAAATAAATAATCTTAAAGAGTGGCTATATCTGATTATTATATCTTAACCTAATCTTAACTATAATCTGATAATTAGATTAAGACATAAAAATTCTCTTAACTATATAGTTAAGAATAGATTAAGATTAAAAGATTCTTTTAATTAATCTTAATTATAAATTAGAAAAATTAAATATAATTAAAAGATTAATAATTATCAGTTAATTAATAATTTATATAAACTTTTTATAGATATAATATATCAGAAATAATCTATTTCAAATTATTATATTATCTAAATAAGATATTAATTAGATTAATTAATAATTATTAATTTTCTTTTATTTTTTAATTAGCAGTCAGCAGCCAGCAGTCTAGTAGATTTTATATTAGACTTATATAATTTATAAATAATATTAAAAATCTAAATATAATAAAATTAGATTATTAAAAGAATATCTAAATTATTATTTAAGCTATTCTTTAATATATATTATATATTCTGATTAATAATTATACTAATAAAAAGATTTTATAAAAGCTATTTATAAGTCTAAAATTATGTAAAAAAAACTTTTATAAATCGCTTTTAAAGAATCCTGCAGTAATCTTATATTTAATTAAAGTCAGAAATATTTTTCAATCTAGACTTATTTAATAATTAATTATAATTAATATATATCTATTACCTAGAAATTTTAATAATAGCTAAATATATATATTTCTTCATAATTTTAAAAAATACTCTTTAATCTATATTTAATTAAAAAAAATAGATATTTAAAAGAATATTAAAACAGTAAGGTTAATTATTTATTTAAATTAAATATATTTAATAATTCAGAACAGCAGGCGGTATATAATAAATAATAAATAATAATAAAAAAATATAATATTTAATTAAAATAATTTTTTTATTATAAACAGTAGAGATCTAGAGATATTATAATAAATATTAATAATAATAATTTATTAAAGAATCCAGAAATCTTATATAAAAATAAAATTCTGAAATTAATATATATAAGAATATAGCCAATAATTATATATCTGTAATAAGTCTTTATTTAATATTTATTTAATAATTTATTCAGAAAGATATTAAAATATTACTTATTTTGTATAGTTTTTATAAAAATAATAGCTTATAGAACTAGTCCTAAAGTTATTAATTATTAAATATTATAGAATAATATATAAGTATATTATAAGACTGTAATCTAGGAGAGTTGTTGTTACTAAGCCAAAAGACTAATATTATCTGCAGTTATCTACAGATTCTTAGAATCTTATATATATACTTAGATATATTTAGAAAAAGATAGACTTTATTCTTATAAATATATATATTTTATAAATATTATCTTTTATAACTATCTTTCTTCTACAGATACTCTGATTAATCACAGGCTCTCTGGCCCTAACTAGACTCTTTAATCTCAGTACTTTGGCCAATTATAGATATATTATTCAGAGATTATTATTCTATTATATTATATTACATATAATAAAGCCCCGGGCTATTCTTCTTAGACTAGTATAATTATATTTAAGTAGATTATTAAGAAATTATATAATTAGATGAATTTTATTAAAATTAACTTTTAATTAAATAATATAAACTTTAGTTTATTAAAGTCTACTATAGAAATTAGATCTATAATTAATAATTATAAATAAATATATAAAATTATAATCTAGAGAAATTATTATTATTAAAGTAAAAAATTATTATTATTTATAATTATTTACAGACTTCTAGAATTCTATATATATATTTAGATATATTTAGAAGAAGACAGGCTTTATTCTTGTAAGTATATATATCCCGCGGATATTATCTCTTATATATATAATATAGAAATATAATCAATTTAATAGTTTATTTATTTATATACATAATAGAAAAAAATAGGAAATCAGAAAATTTCTACTAGTATAATATTATTTTACTTTTAAATATATATTAGTAAAAATATAATCTATTATATTTATATATATTAAAGTTATATAATAATAATAAATTTTTCTTAAAGATATCTTCTAATCTTATTTATAAGTCTAGAATTATCTATAAAAGATTTTATAAATAGTTTCTAGAGAAATCTACAGAAGTGTTTTATAAATAATTTTTAGAAAATGTAAATTTCTAGATAAATTAAATAGATAGAATAATTTAAAAATTATAATTAAATAATATAAATAATTTATATTATCCGGATTTATAATAAATATTTAAAAGGCTTTTTAAGTTACTAAAATAGATAATAAGTCTAGTTATTATTATATAAAAATATTTACTAAGAGATTTACTAATCTTAGAGAATTATTTAAAAAATATTAATAATTTATAAATAATATATAATTAAAACAGAGCTATAAATATATATATTTATTATTATTTTATATTATAAAATAATCTTTTAGTAAAAGCTTAATTTCTATTATTATTTAAGCTAATCTTAAATTAATTAAAATAATATTAAAATAAATATATTATTTTATTTTCTGATTATCTTTAGAATTAAGAAGATTTATCTTATATAAATTATCAATAAAAATATAAATAATTAGAATATATAGAGATTAATCTAAGTATATCTTATTTAAGCTAAGATCTAAAAAAATATAGTAGATTAATCTTAATATTAAAAATAATTAAAATAATTAATTATTTTATTTTTAATTATTTTATAATTAGATATAAGATAATAAATACTATAATAAGAAATTAATTATAGTATTTCTTATATAAAGTAGCTTTCTTTATTTTAATTATATTTTTAATAATAATTATTTAGTAAATAATTATATTAAGCTTGGTTTTTTTTTGATTATTTAATTAGTTATTATTACTAATAATAAAAAAATATTTATTAAATTCTTTAAGAAACTCTTTTAAATAGTTGTTTCTTTATTTTATTATTATAATTTATATAAAAGTCCTTTTTTATATTCTAATCTTTAAATAGTTAATTTATTAATAAAAAGAGATTATCTTATTATATAGTTTTAGTTATCTTATATATAAATATAATCTAGAGAAATATATATTAATTAGCTTTTTTATAAAAATAGCTATAAATATAATAAATCTTTTTTATTTTATTTATAAAATATTTTTTATTAATTAAGAACTTTATATAAAATCTTTTATAAAAAAATATATTTTAAAATCTTTTTTAAAAAATATTTAGAATTAGAAAAGCAAGCTTTGAATTATATAATTAAATAGTAAATAAAGAATAGTACTGCCAACACAAGTAATAATATAAAATATTATTATAAATTCTCTAGTCAGATTCTTAGCTAAGCTTTTATTATCTAATATTCTTATTCTTATTAATTAAAATATACTTATTAATTACTTAAATCTATTTGTAAAATATAAATTATTTATATAAATTTTTGAATAATATTCTAAATATTATAAATTATTAAATAAAAAAGGTTTTTTATTTTTATATATTAAGTAT